CTGCTCGGCTGCAGACTGATTCCGAGAGTCCTCTCTCGCACTCATGGGGCGTGACCCATAGGTGTGAGAGAGACAGAGCGACAGAAACGACTCTCGGCATCAGCCTCGCTCGGATCTACCTGGCTGGGTCCAGATTCGGGGGCCCACGTCACGGTAGAATCGGAATCGGGCGGATCCCAAGTAGAAACACCGCCGACTCGAAAAGTTCAAACAAAATGTCAGGAGAGGGAAAACCTTTATCCAACGAGGCTAGATTAATCTCTGCTTTCCTGTGCCAACCCGGCCATCGGCGAGATCGTCGAAAAAGTGAAGCTCATCGAGGAAGTGATTTCGATGTCCGGCCGGCGTGCCCGGCGTGCCTGTCGCCTTTGTGGGGCAGTGCACGGCAGCGCGCTGTTTACACTCGGGGCGGCCATTCAGCCCGGCGGGGCGGGGCGGGGGTGCGCAATCATTCGTGCAGCGGAAGCGCTTTCAGAGACGACGGCCGGCCCCAGCAGCCCCAGGTGGGGTCCGGCCGAAGCCGAAGCCGGGACCAGAGTCGCTCTGCGGCCACCGCATGTCGCAACCGCGTCACTGGCTGGACGGGCTGGACCCTCGAGGGCGGGACGCGGTGTACGCCGCAGCCAAGTTCGGCCTCGCTTTTCGCCACGCTAAAAAGTGTCAAAGGTGTCCGACAATGCTATTACACTGGCCGGTCGTAAAACGGCACCTTCACACCTCCAATCTCGGCCGTGTCCGGCCCCTCCCACCTCGCATTGCACAACGCCGACGTGCGAAAGGACCTGCCGTCGACCCGGACCATCGGACGGTTTGACGGACAGGCGCGGCACTGGCGGCACGGCCTAGCCTCAACCTCGCCGATGACCGTCACGGACTTCCAGGACTGGCCGTGTGAAACTTCCGTCGCATTCCTCGGACACGGACACACACACACACACACACACACAGAGGTGCCCCACCACGCCCCCCTCCCCACCGCGCCACCCCGAGGGGCCTGCTTGTGCCGGCCGCGGACAACAAAAGAGGACTAAAAAGGCAGGAAGACTTTTGCGGAATTTTCGCGAGTCGAGGCGGGGCCGCGACGGACGACGCACCGCACAGTGTAGTAGAATACACCTTTTTCGCGCGTCAAAAGGTTGAAGCCGAGAGGGCAAAGGAGAAGGGGGGGGGGGGGGGAATGGCGCAGCGGGGCGTCGAACGCGATCCCAAAGGGGTGCCGCGGAGCGAGCAGCGTCTTATTTCATCGCCAAAACGCCGGGATTCGAAAAATCAACGTCCGTTTTTCAGCTTTCCTCTTTTCCCCCCCTTTATTATATTATTATTATTACCATGACGCGCCGCGACTGCGGGCCGCGGCCGCCTTGTTGACTCTGCATGCGTGCGCTCCGTGCGCTGCAGCCCCGCGCGCGTTGAGGTCTCTCCCCGCGCAACAGGATCGCATGGCAAACAGTGAGGGTGGTGCGGGGTGGTGTGAACACGGAGGGAAAGGGGAGGGGGGAGGAGGTTATCGGCTGGCGATTTAATTAAGCGGCCCGGATTAAACGAAAAAGTCAATTGGGAATTTGACGCAGCCTAGCTAGAGTCAGACATTTTTTTTGAGTCCTGTACATGTACATGTTTTTTTTCGGAAGGAAAAAAACAAGGGTAAAGGCACAATTTTGAAAAAATAAACGACAAAAAGAAACAACATGAAAACAAACAACTGCCGGCGACGGCTGGCAGTGCGACACCGAGCCGCCTCGCCGGCAATGCAAACAGTATTGCAATAAGTGGGACTAATTGCGAACGCTAGTGAGGCGGTGCGTGCGCCGTGCGTGCGCATCGCAGTCGAAGAGCAATTAGACTAAATTGGTCGTCAAATGGGCCATCGGAACGGTCAAGTGGCCATATGGCGCCCCCACCCCCACCCCTTTCCAACGCGAACGGGTAGCGCATGCATATTCAAACGCACGAGCAAGTCCAGAGTGGTACCTACGTGCCCACCGCGCACCGTACCGCACCGTACCGTTCTGGCACTGGCACGCCACTAGTGCCACGCACATGCAGATAAAAGATTTCCGTTTACCGGCGGCGTATCTGATTTTCGTGGAAATTATGGGTTTGATTACCGACACGCAGCGCAACGGAAAACCACCCCCGCACGCCGTTTCAAACTGGAAAGTAAAAGCAACCCCCCGGATGTTTGATTTTTCGCAGAAAGACGGAGTTTTGTTTTCCGACGGTTCTAAAGTTCAGGAATGTTGCGACCACTGTACTGCCTTTTTGAATTGAAAAAGCTACGGTGGCAGTGGCTGGGTTTGTGGGAATGGCCAGCACTGCCGCGGCCAGCGGGGTGGACACGGCTCGCTGGATGCCAGTAGTATAACTCATCGGGACTTTTTTTTCGACATTTATTTTTTGTCGGTAAGTCACTTATGCAATTATTGCAAACGGTCCAACAAAGGGAGATTATATACTGTCGCGTTCTTCTTTTGTTTTCTGTACTTTGTGTGGGACCTTCTGACCACAAACGTGCCTATATTCCTCCGTCTTTTTTCCCTTCTGGAACAAATCCTCCTGAATCCTTCTCATTTCTTCCCATCGCGGCGGCGGCGCGGCTCTGCAACCGCGGCGCGTCTGGAGGGGAGGGGGAGGGGAGCGGGTCATTGCAGACTGCGCAAAGGACAAGACGGGACCCTTTCACCCCCTCTCTTCACGTTCACGCACCTCAGATGCTGACCCGCGATAAGAGCCGTAATTACCTCCAGCAAGTGTGGGCGAGGGCCTCGGCGAGGGCCTGGGCGAGGGCTGATCCGAACAGGTGGCTCGGGGTGAAAGACTTCGAAGTCAGACTGCTTACGGTCCCCGCGGTGTCAGCGTGTGTTTAGGTCGGCGGCAGCGGCCAGTTCGGCCCGCCGTTCGTTGCGTGAAAAACGAGGCAGATACTACAGGAGAAAGAAGGGAAAAAACGACAGTGGCTACTATGCTTTTGTCTAGAAGTATCTGAGATGAAGCTATTTCAGAAACCGGCCCCGATTCTGACAAGTTGCTCTTGGGGGAGTGACTTGGCGTCTGTTAAAGACAAACGACATCAAACTCAATTTTTTTTCTGACCATTGGTCAGCAGTGGCGAACATAATGCTCTTTTCTTGCGGCTAGCTCTTTATCTTTTCTTTACTTTTTTTTTGCTAACCTAACATTGACCGGCTACTGTTCACGCGCGAAAAAAAATCCGTAAAACATGAACACGCCGACGACGGGAACTTGTGACATAACTGGTGTGGCAGTGATGGCCACGACACCCCATGACAAGATTATCTCCTGGCATTCCAGCAGAGACATTTGAGGTTTGGAGGGAGCAAATACAGAGAGACGGAGTAAGAGAGAGGCGAAAGAGGAGGAGGGGGAGTGCTGGAAGTCAGTCTGATGACGGCAGGAAGAAGCAGGTGGCTCCTCCGGGCACTCCCCCTCCAGACGACGCCCAGGGAGGGGGTGCCGGAACCTGGAACCCCCTCGAATGAAAATCGACTTTCCAGCATTCCTGCGGCGCTACCAGTCCGATTCATATTTGCTCTGCCATTCTCCTCACCACACCCCGCTGCACAGTGTACGCTGGCTGCGCTGCCCGTCCGTCCGCAGGCTGACCCGCTTGCTCTTTTCCCCGCAACTCTTTTTTGCCTTCGTTTTTTGTTTTTTTTTGGGACGATATTTTTATACTCCACGTACGGTAACTGTTGTTCTGCGTGAATGGCCGGGCGTAAATCCTGGAGGCGGGCGGTGCCCTGGCGGTGCCGCGTGAGACCGTCACTTAGCCAATACGTGTCGGCGGGCGTGGCGCGGCCTGGCGGGTCGTCTGCTTGTTTGGGTGCGCGCGACGAATTGCTCTGGGTGGTCCCCTGTGCTGGGCCCCTCTCCGGGCCCCACGGCCAGACCCTCGGCCCTTGACGGGGCCGCCAGGTACGCCCCCGCAGCCCCACACAATGGAGAGGGGCTTAAAAGCGACCTTATATTGGAGGCCACCGCGCCGACACCGCACCACGTCAAAAATAAGCGAGCCGAGCGAAACTCTGAAAATAATGCGCGTGTTTCACTACTACTGATGGTTGCAGTTTGCAACGAGAACGAGTTTTAACGACGCTCGCGAGTTTTACGGCAACGCTTTAGTTCACACGACGCGGCAGTGCGCACCTGGGGCAGCCAGACAGAACATCACATTCGCGTACACGCACTCACACAGACGCACACTCACACGGGGAGCTTATTGCGAATGTGCCCACATGTTGGCCACCCCCTCCACCAGCAGCTCGCCAACCCTTTTTCTTTTGAGACTCGGCAAATACCGGTGCCCCTCCCCTCCCCGCCCCCTCGCCGGATCAGCAGCTCTCGCTTGCTCTCGCTTGCTCTCGCTGCGAAGGGCTGCCCCGGGGGCATTCTATTCGCAGTCAAAAAAGTGAAAAGTGGTGGCCGGGCAAGGGCGGCCTGGGGGACGGCCTGGAGGACGCAGGGCATCCCGCTGGAGGAGCTCGCTGTCATCGCGTCGCCGAAAGCCTCAGCGCGCTAATCGTCGCTGCGCAAAAGGAGGAGAGAAGATGATCAAGGAGGAGGAGGAGCAGAGCTTCTGTAAAAACGAGGCTGGACAATGTGACTGCGCGCTGCGCTCCAGATCCAGCAGATCGCACTGTGCCTGGTACCGTACGTACCACTGCACCGGCATGGCTCCGCGCTTTGTCCCACCCGCATGTGCGCCCCGCGGCCCCGCGCCGCCCCGCACCCCGCAGCGCGACGCAGCGCGACGTGCAGCGACGTCCCCAACGGCAGCACCTGACCAGTGGCGTAGCCGTGACCTCGGCGATGACTCCACCCTCACACGCCGCGAGGCCGGGACGCCCATTGAGCCGTTCGAAGAAGATCCCCAGCTGCTAATAATATGGTGCACTGCCTCGATGTGTATGCCTCCTTGCAACTGCAACAGCGTTCCCAGAACGAGCGCTCCGCCCCTGCAGAACTACGACGCACGTTACCTGTTGTGGAAGCTCTCTCGGAGCGACAGCTATGGTCCGGGTCGCAGCGGCCGCATTGAAGCAGCTTGAAGCAGGCCGAAGTCCCGGAGTTATCCACAACGCGCGCACAGTCACTCACACACACAGGTTTGCAACGTTTCCTCGTTGCGACGTGCCGACGGCACCACTTTTTTGACAATCCTTGTTCGAAAATCCTTAACGCACTGTCGGGCCGATGGAGGTTAAGTCCGTGTAATCCAGTGGGAGAAGCAGCGGGCGAAGCACTGACACACACACGCACACACACTCATTGACGCACGCACACGCACGACGTCCCAGACTTCGCCGCGGTGCCGGTGGCTGCGTCGCTGCGTCGACACGCACTGCTCCGCTCTGCTCGACGCCCAACAGCACACTGAGGAGAGGAGAGGAGTTCCCCCGTTCCCTTCGCCTTCCCTCCGCGCGGCGCGGCCAGCGCGGCCAGCCGGCCGGCATCGCGGAGCAGCCCGCGGTGCGTGCGGCGCGGAGGGGGGAGCGAGAGAGTCGGTCCGAGCGCGCTCTCTCGCTCTCTCTCACCGTGCTCTACCTGGACGAACGCCTAAAGGTGTACAAAGGGAGAAGGACGGCCAAAGGAGCGACAAAAGGGAAGAAAAAAAATCAAGGTGAGGTAAGACGGAGGGGAGGGGGTGTCCCCAACCTAAGGCAATGTGTGGCGCGGTGGATGTGGGGGGAAGGGGGAGGGGGGTAGCCAGAAGCCAAGGCAAAGGTTGCTATGTGGAGCACGAGACTGGGATGGGAGCCGATGGGTGATCGAACTCTCCGTTATACATGACCCCCTCCCTCTTGCCAGGGCACCCTCAACCCCCTGCTACCCCCTCCCCCCAAGGCATTCAGAAAGGCGCGCAACAAGACGGCTGCGAACTGTGGCGATGCCGCCGGCGGTGCGATTTTGTAAACACCCTGAAAGTGAAAACTTGTGTCGCAGGATGCAGCTGAGCTGATCAGTTAGTACGAGAGAAGGGTGGTACTTGCCCTGCAATGGGTGATTCGCTCGCGACCCAACTCGCTCAGGGAAGCACACTGTGCTTATGGCTATCAAGGAACGCACACTCCTTAGGCCCTCCCATTGACAAGGCATCTTATGAATGGGCCGAGAAAGTACTGATTATTCAACTTCTGCGTAGGCTCCCAATTGCAGTGTTTAGGGGTGCTATTTACACGTGCCAGTTGAACCCCCAGGGCCATTGCGCGGAGCATGATATCCTTTACATTCCGACCAATCACCGTCTATGGCCAGATTGCAGAAGCAATAATAGCTCAATCGTATTCACAAAATCCTCAACATGTGTTTTTTAAAAGCACACGGTGTGTGTATCAAAATTCAAAGTTGTTTTCCCCTCGATCGGACCCCCGCTGCTCCAACTACTTGCCTCTCGAAGAGAAAAAAATGGCACTGTCCAGCGGCGGGACATTTATTCTTTCCATATCCGGCCTCCCTGCTTGGCGATTCATACTGTTCATCATTTTTATCGAGCGACAAATTGCCGCCCACTCACGGCCGCATTTAAATGTATGTAGTCAGTATGTTGTCGCTTGATCGTCGGCACAAGCCATCTTTGATATTCAAATATCAACATTTTGGAAGTATTTCAATAACCTCTCTTTTTTTGCACTCGTTCCGTGCGTCGTCTTCGCCCGAGCCGCCCCCTCCCTTTAATAGAGTGGAGGGCATCATGCGATATTGTGGGTGGATCATATTCGTCCGCATACATGCATATCTGAGGACGCGGGGCTCGTCTTTGTGCCTCGGTGATTTGTAGCAGGAAGGGTTGGGGTGGCTCTGCTGGCCCGGACCTCACCACCGAGAGAATGCTTCCCCATGTCGCGGGGGCACTTCAGTGGAGTCAGGGTCTTATGACTCCAACCGGGATACCAGAATCATGTCGATTTTTTCCAGGATGCCTGATGTGCTTCGGCTTGTTCGGTGGAGCCGCTGAACCAACTGCACTGGATCGGCGCGCCGGGGGTTCCCAAGAGGGCTCGCCTCCCACCCCTTTCTGTCCACCCTTCACCCCGCCCCCTTTATTTTCTGCAGTTTAGCCGCGGACTTCCCACAACAATCACCGACTAATGTTGTGCGACACTTTTCCCGAAATCCGGTGGGAAAGCGGCGGCGGCGGCGGTTCGCTCGCTCCGTATCGACTTAAAGAAAGGCCGAAGGAACAGGAGGAGAGGAAAAAAAAGAGTTCCAATCAAATCGCTCATTATGAGAGCGCACCCCTTTCGGGCGTGGCGCACCCTGGCAAACCCTTTCCGCGTTTCTGATTGGCACCGCCTCCTCCTGACTGACGTTTACGGCGTTTCCCATTCAGGCTGTCAAACGGACCTGAACTTTGACGCGCGACGGACTCCCTTGCCTTGCCCGAGGCCGCGGATCCGCTGCGGGTGCCGTAAAGTTGGAGAGGATAGGGGTGCCAATGGCCGTGGCGGTACCGTGGCGGTGCCGTCCACGAATCCGATTGCCTTTGATTTGTTTACGACGAGTGCGAGGCGCGGAGGCTCGCGTCTCGCGTCGCTAGAGGCCCTCTATCTCTCGCGGACCAACGGACGAGACGGCGTCGCGGCGCGCTATGGTAGTGGCTGCGTCCGAAGCAAGTGCCCGTCGCTGTCTCCCTCGCACTCCTGAAGCGTCCCGTAAGGATGCTAGAGAGACAGCAGCGACGAACGGTCTCCGCGGCAGCTGGCGTCGTAAAGGCGGGCTAATGACTGACCAAATAATTGAGACGACTTATTTGCATTCGGGATGGCGCGGACGGCGGCACGGGGCTGCTTTATGGCCAGCCTACCTGTCGAATGGGCTCTTCCGGCCCAAGTCGTCTAGGATAAAAATTCCGTGGCAACTGCGGCAATTAAAACGCACGCACCTCGCGAGGGGAAATGGTGAGCTAGAAATGCCTGTCGAACCCACCGCGGCCAAAACGGTACCTGGTTTTCCCAGGTAGCCAATAGTAAAGACATGGGTGATTTCCAGGGACGTTCCTAGGAAAAGCTGGAGCCATTCGGCCGTGCACGCCTACATGACCCCCAAACAAAGCAAAGCCTTATGCATTCGAGTATCAACACACCAGCGAGGCAGCTGACCGCTTCCGTACAGCCGAGCCGTACGGGAACTGACACGCGGCCTCGGTTTTCTGAAAGTGTCTCTTCGGCGTGTCTGGTTCGGTATCGTTTCCCCGTGTAAGTTGAGTCGGGCCGTCTTGGCGGGACAGGGACCGGGACAGCTGCCGTGCGAAGGCACGCGCGCAGATAAAAAGATGGCTATCTGCTGATGGGCCTCTTTGACCGGCCGTGCACGGCACTGTACTTTGCTTAGACAGGTGACAGCGAGAGTGTCCGGGAGGAGCTTCGCCAGCGGCGTGGCCATGGGCGTGGCGCGCCGCGGCGCCCCGAGCAATACGGCACGCCGCACGCGAGCACGCACGGCCTCCAAACGGACTTTTACTTTCCGGAAAACGAACGGAATTTCGGAACGAGCTTCTACCGACACCGGTGCTCCAATCAGTTCCCTTTCGCAACGGTCATCTCCTCTGATCGGCAACCGCGTGCTCATGGAGCGCGCCGAAGACGCGCCGAAGACGCGCCGATCCCCGAGGAGACAGGTCGTTAGGGCGTCGCTTCGATTCCCACATCGCTTCCCCCGGTCGTTACAATGAGGTGACCGCGAACAACGAATAAAACTCTAGGCTTGGTGCGCTGCGGGGGCACGGCACACCACCAATTGCGGACTGATTTTTACGGCGTTTTGAGAGTGTCCTGCGTCGTAAAACGGTGTCTGTGTGTGCGTGCGCAGCGTGCGCGTTCGGTTTTGTTGTTATTGGTGAAGCGTATAGCCCCGGGCTTGTGTGGATGGTGTCACCTGCCCCACGACAACCAGCACGACAGCCACTGCCGCCAGGCGGCACCGCGTCGTCATCGGAAGTCCTGTGTCCGTCGGACTCCGTCCTCGTCGCACCCGCGGCAGGCCGACCCGGCCGCCGCCGGCAGTGCGACGGAGACGGCAAGCTCGCGGCGGATGTGCCGCCCGGACGCCGCCCAGGTGGCCGTCAAGGCCGTCAAGTTGGCGGCTGATGGATGGGGGCAGCGCGTGAAATATGAAGGCGCGGCCCGCACCGCGCTGCACTACTTTCGGCCCAATTTCATGCCGAGTCGTCACCGATCGCCCCTTATGTGAATGTGAATTTAATTGTTGACGGCCGATTCACATGCATATTCCGATTGGGGCTAAGGAGAGCCGGCGAGCACATCTCCGGCTGTGTCTGCCGCCGCACACGCGGTCAGTGTGTTATTACTGCTTTCTGAGGGCCAACAAACGCGCGCGTGGAAATGTGTGTAATTATTGTTAATGCTCAGTGGTCCCCTAATGAAAATACCGCTGACCAGCAGTAGCGGCCCGCCGCCGCGTGCGGCCGAGCCGTGCGGGGTGAAATTCGACATTAGTCGAAATTAATGTTACTGGCGGCAATGTCGCCGGCGGCACGCGCCCCCGCGTTCGTCACGTCTCGTCTCGTGTCCGTCACGGGCCGCGGGCCGAGTCGCGCGTGACAAAGTGACATTAGCGCGCGGGCCGCTTGCGATTGGCTCGCCAAAACAATGACTAGCGCACCGCGAACAGTGACCTGGCAGCAAACAAAACACGAATCGATGATTAGGAGTTCGAAGAAAAGCAGTTTGCCCCTCCACTTCAGCGCTGGAAAAAATAATATGACGGGAATCAAAAAGTGGGCATTCCATTAATCGAATTAGACTTTCCCCCAACGCAGTCAAACAGTCCTGATTCGCTTCCGGTCCTTGATGTGATTCGGGGTGCGATACCCGGCGACACCCACACTGCATTGCGCGCCCGGCCCACATTGATCCGAGATTTTGTTGGTCGCAGCCGGACACTGTCGCCCCTTTCCCCATTTGTTTCCTTCGCCCCCTCCCTAAGGTAAATGGCTTTTTGTCATGGCAGGCAGGCGCGTGTCACCGGCGTCACTCTGTCATTCCTAAACACACTTCCGGTTCGCTGGTACCGTATTCGGCGCGGAAGGTAGCGGGTTCGAATCCCGGACCTGAGTTGCGGTTTTGTCTTTAGTTTGCATACTGAGTCGCTTCCGGATGCCGAAATCCCGCGAAGTAAAGCACTGGGTCAGTTGGGTCAGGCTTCCTCGAAACCTTTCGGGCCACAGCTCACTCGGTGGCCTGAATGGTGTGTCGGCAACTTAGCGGCGCAACCACCACACGGACTGGCACGCCAGTTGCCGCGGCTCGGCATAACCGCAACGCACCGGGCGTCCGGCAGTGGACCGCCGCGGCTCCAATTATTTATTCCATGCAGCGGAATTAAACTTGTTGTAA